ATTGCATATTATGCTTGCTTGGTTTTAGATAAATATTTTTATGATCTTAAAAATCCCTCTCTGACCATACTTTGTAGAGTGTTGTTTGGACTTTTTTTTTTTTAGAATAAAGGAACATTATCTTTTTCTGAAGCTTTTATTGTAACTATTGTGATAATCGTGTAGTTTTAGATGTTTTTGTTTTAAATTGGGCTAAATATTTTGATTGCTTTCCTAATGCTGAACCATTTCTGCATGCATGGTATAAATCCAATGTGAATACAATTATTTCTTTGATTAATTGCTGTAGTCTATGACAGGAGTTTATTTAAATTCTTTGACATTAACTAATTACATTGATCTATTGTTCCCTTTATTTGTTTTATATTTTCCTGGACTATATTTAGGACTATATTTAGTCTCATAAGAGAAGTTTGGTGGGGTACCTTTTTCCATTTTCATAATAATTTGTGAGTATTGATAGTAATTGTATGTTAATTATTTTCCTCTCTTTATCTCATTTCCCTCCTCTCTGTACAAAGGAGAGGATGGTAAGAGAGGAGGGGTTTTTTTGGCACTAATGATATGTGCTTAATCTATCTTTACTCCACCATCTCCCTTTTCCCCCTTCATCCTGACTCCAATAAAATATTCTTGCCCTTTCTTTTCTTTTAAACCTGTCTTCACAATCCACCTTTTGAGATTGGAGAGTTTGTTTTGCTTATTACGAAATCTTTCCCGAATCTACCATTCCTCTTGTTCCCCCCTCTTTCATCTCCCAGTTCCATTCTGTTTTCCTGTTGTGTTAAATGTATTGTTATACCAAATTCTTTTTGCATATGCACAGGTGTGTGTGTTTGCATGTGTGTGTGCGTGTGTGTTTTGCCATTCATTTGCTGGTCCAGATGAAAGTGAGGTTCAAGTGATACCTCCTCCCTACTTTTCTCTTTGTTTATATAGTGTTCTACTTCCACACCCCAATTATGTGAAATAGTAACTTCTCCCCCTTTTCTGCTCTTTTCTCCCTGACATATTCCTTTTCCCCTCCCTTTTCTTCATTCTTTTAAGGTCATCAAAACATAATTAAAAAAAGCCCAAGATTTCTGTCTTATTTAACTCCCTCTATGACCTTTGACGACGTTAAGGTTCTGAGGGAACACTAGTTTCTTCTTTTGCTCTTAGAATGTAAATATTTAATCCTTGGATTGTCCCTTCCAGAGGCTCAAACATATTTACCTTTTTATCTCTCTTTTGATGCCTGCATTTACATTTCAAAGTTTCTACTCAGCCTTGGTCTTTTCATCATGAATGCTTAGAAGTATTCTATTTCATTAAAAATCTATTCTCTGCTTTCTTATGGGTAAATTGTTCTTGGTAATAAGCCTATAACTTGACTTTTGAAATATCTTATTCCATCCTCTCTTTTCTTTTATTATGGTTGCCACCAAATCTCATTTGATCTTAACTGTGGCTCCTCAGTGCTTGAACTCTTTACTTCTAGATGCTTGCGTTAATTTTCCATTGATTATAGCTCTGGCTTTGGGCTATGGAATCCCTGAGAGTTTTCATTTGAGAAATTCTTTCAGTAGGTAATTTTAAAAATCTATTTAAAATCTATTTTTACATTGCTCTTTAGTTAAGATAGGTCAAGGCTGTTTTCATTCATAATTTCATTTAATGTGGCAACCAGGCTCTTTCTTTCATCATCACTTTCAGATAGTCCAATGATTCTTAGAATTTTTTTTTCTCCTTGACCTGTTTTTTAGGCCAGATATTTCTGATATGAGTTATCCTATATTTTCTTCCATTTTTTCAGTCTTTTGTTTTTAATATTTCTTATTATCTCCTATAGTCATTAACTTCTTTTTGGACCATTCTAATTTTCAAGGACTCTATTAATTAGATAAGGCTTTATACCTCTTGTACTAAGCTGTTAATTCTTATCACTTTTTTTTCTCTAGAAAAACATGTTCCAGTTTTTTCCTCTACATTTATCTCATTTATAATACCATTTAAAAAAAAAATTCTTGCTTCATTTATTCCAAGAATTCTATTCCAATTCCATTCCATTTCTATTCCAATTCAGTTCCAAGAATTGGCCTTATGGACAAGCTATGTTTTTCTTTGAGGCTTTGCTCATGATTGTATTCTCCTCTTCTATAATTCATAAAAGTCTTTTTTTTTCCTCATTCTTCCAACATTGCTTCCTGAATTAGAACTTATATCAGGAACAAGTTCTGTGAACCTCTGGGAGGAATGTTGAGGCATTATTCAGTCCTGATATGTATGATATGTTGCCCTGACACTACTATCTCTACATATTAAGTGCTGGTTTCTTTAATGGTCTCAAGAGTGGCTCAGGCCAAGGAACTGCAAACTTTCAGCATACCCTAAATGGCTGGATCATTGCCCTCCCAATCTGAACTTTAAAGGCTCCCAAAACTAGCAAGACTAGACTAGTTTTGTCTGAGCAATAAAACTGCAGGTTTACCTCTGGTTGGAGCTCTAATAGACAAATACTGGCCCCAATCCCTGTCAGCTAACTGTAATTCTCTGAAGGTTCAGAGTAATAGAGCTACAAACTCATTCCTGGTTCATATTTCCTGTCCTGATTGTTCAATTGAAGGCCCCAATCTTGGTCTGTAGGCTCTCTCTGTGGTCCTGCTCAAGGTTAGAGAAATAACTGTAGACTCGTCTCTGTTCTGAACTTCCTGTGCCAGCTACAAGTTCCAGACTCTACCCTTCCTCAGCCCTGCTCCAGGGCCAAAATAGCTTGGCTTTGCTAGTCTTCATGTCGGCTTATTGCAGAAGAACTAGAACTAGTCAGTTGGTCACTAGACTGACTAGGATTACAAGTGAACCACAATAAGTAGTGCATGTATATCCAGGCAATGGTAGGGATTGCCTACATAAAGTGTACCTTGCATTTGTAATGGTAAACTGGTACGTGTGCAGAGTTCAGCATGCTTGGATGATGCAAATTCTTCACCTAGGGGAAGCTGGAGAGTCTCTTTCCTGGAAATTCATGATAACATGTAATGGAAGTGATTTGGAGAGCCATTATGGAGCCAGTTCCAGCTGACTAACTATGTGATGAAGAGGTGGTCACTTAAACATTTTCTCTTCAACTGTGCTTTTGGTGGATCTTCAGGACTGCTTTTCTGATGGTATCCAGAAAGAGACAATGCTATAAGGGAAGAGACTTTGGGCCCTCTTCACCAAGGTTTCCATGTGACCCTGTAGCTACAGGCCTGGTTTCTTTGCCTGCCTCAACATTTGTTTTTTCACTTTAAGTGAAGAGATAGCAGTATCTCAGCAGCTGGGTTTTTACAGATGTGTCAACATCAATCAATGGTCCAAGGAGCAAGGACTGGCCTCCAGGAGCCAGCTCATTATATCAGACACAAGTTCTCATCCAATAGTCATACTACATGTAGACGTGAACTTGCCAGTGTTATATAGTAACTGTCCTATTTTTAAAAGTGAGAGCTCTGTTGAAAAAGAAAACATGACTGAATGCCATCAAAAGATACAAAACATTGGATCCATTAAAATTGAATTCAAAATTTCCTAGTTTAATTTCCTATTTCAAGTTAGCTTGACTGATTTTTACAAGGGACTGTAAAATTTTGGGACCCAAGAATGTTAACTGCATTAATGTAGAATGGAAGAGAACAAGCATTTATTTAGCCAGGGATTGTGCTGGGCAATTTAGAAATATTACCTTATTTGATTCTCATTACAACCCTAGGAGATAGGTATTATTATTATCCCCATTTTATAGTTGAGGAAATTAAGGCAAAGAGATGTTAAGTAACTTGACCAGGGTCACCAAGCTACCTCAAGTTGTCTCTTAGCCTTTTGAAGGGGGCCTCCACTGTCTCATATCACCCCTCATCCGCTCACTGCCTACACACACACACACACACACACACACACACACACACACACACACACACACACGGTTTTAGGGGTACCCATGAGAAATCAGTACTTACCTTTTCAGGCCCTCATCCTGAGCTTCCACTGTTCTGTTTTCTCCAATATTATCAATGGAGAATCTCTTTAGTCACCCAGCTTTAAATAGGGTGACCTTAAACTTTGCCAAGGTTGTATAGAAAGAAGAGATGAAACAAAACATGCTCCTCCCAAAGTCTGCAACATACTTTTCCACAAATACCCAGAGTCCAGTGGAAAGTGGGTTCAAGCTTAGAAAGCCCATGTGGAAAGGAGTAATTTGTACCTCCTGGGCATTACTGGAAGTCCTTTTCTCCCCTTGGTGAGTGCTCAAGAAGTTTTCCTTAGGCATGACATAATTTCTTTGTTGAGTTCCTTGGCCTCTCATCTTATTTCTTTTCATGTCTTGACAAATCCCAACCCTACATTATTCTTACCATTCGCCTCCTCTGCTCCTACACAGACTGCTGAATAGAGCTGAAGTAAGTCCCCTATCTGAGCTGTCTGGGTCCAAAAATTTTTGTTTTCTAGCCTCATCTGGGCCCTCAGTTCACAAGAAAATCCTTTTACTCTCCCCAAATTGAATCTCTTTCTCATTTCTCATAGTGGCTGATTTAAATATTGTCTTCTCTCCTCAAAACTCCCACACCAAGCCCTTTTCTCTGTCATATCTTTTTAGCTGAGGACCATTATTCCTAATTTACTGAGAAAATAGAAGCCATTCTCCCTGAGCTCCCTTTTTTCCTTTTCTCTCCACCATCCTTAAAAAACTTTCACTAGACCCTGCCATCCCCTCAAGCAATCACCCTGTATCTATCCTCTCTTTCTTAGCCAAGTTCCTTGAAAAAGTTATCAATACTCATTACCTCCACTTCCTCTCCTCTCATTTATTTCTCAGCCTTTTATAATCTGGCTTCTGACCTCATCATTCAACTGAAATTGCTCTGTCTAAAATTACCAATGATTGTTTAATTAGTAAGTCTGAGGGGAAGAATGTGGCTGTTGGACCAGTTTCTGTGTCCATGGTTTGATTCTCCCTTTATGTACACAGTAAGAAAAAATTCCCTGGCTCAGTCAGGAAAATGCAAACTACTAGATTAATTCTTTGGCAATTCTGGTGCTATGCCCCAGAAAAAGTACTGCTTTCTGACTTCAGTGTGTCTGACAGGGAAGTCTGCTTTCAGACTCCTGGCCTCCCTTAGGTACAATGACCTTTTAAAACCTCTCAACAGGGATTAGGTGAAAGTTGACTTCTCTCTTAGAGTACCTTTATTGGATGAGAAGGGGAAGAAGCAAAGGTGTGGTTTTTCCAACATATTCTTTTGAAAGGGATTCCAACAGGTGAGTGTTTAATTTTCCTTGTCTTTATGCAAACTACTCAATGTGATCTTGGGAGGCTTGGTAGCTGCTACTCTTTCTAATAATCTCCCAGCTATTGGTAGGGAGTGAGAGGGAGGTATTGGGTGGGTTTCTTTCTAATAATTCCATGGCTGTCAGAAAAATTCTGTCTAATATCTCTCATCTATAGGAGAAGTTTCTCCCTAAGAAGTCCTGAGTGGTGGGGGGAGGTTTCTGATAATTTCTTCTGAGAGTCTTTTTTTTTTTCTTTTTGGTCTTGGAGTTAACTTTTTGTATGTGTCTGGTTGTTGTTGTCACATCTACTTCTGGTTTGCTTTGCCTTTGATTCTCAGTAAGCTCAAAAGTGTCTATTTTGTGTTGTTATGTATACTCTCTGTTGTTATAGAGACATCTATCCCAACTTTGCTTCTTGTGTGTGAACTAAGTTCCAGCATAAAAGGGGTGTTTTCTCAGCTTGTATGTTCCTTAGAGTAGAAAGTGTATTTAAAGTGATTTGTAACTAGAAACTAGCAGTTGAATGAATATCAACTTAACTCTTTCCTCTAGGTAACTTTAAGGAATTTCTTTAAATTAGTTATGAAAATAGAAAATGAAAGGTTTCCCCCTGTTAGGAAATGAGAGGAAAAATTAAAAAGAAAAGTTAAATCTCTGTAGCAAAAAAAAAAAAAAGTTGACCACAATTAGTGCTAAGGGTCTGTCAAAACTGTAATTGGAATGGATCCCAGAAAAGGTTGATTACCTATTGTATAAAGCTGACAGGAGTTTAGGCTTTTTTTTTCTCTTTCAAACATATATGATTAACTCTTAATTGAGAACAGATTTTTTTTTAAATCGACTTAGTTTAGAAAGAAAATGAGAATTTTCCCAGGTTGAGCAGCGATCTTCTTTTCCTCTGATCTAGCCAACCAGGGAATAGGGAGAGATCACACAAATTATATTAGGAACAAAACTGAGTTTATACTAAATTTCATAGTGAAATATTTCTGAATTTATTACAGATCATTAAATTGGAACTGAAGAAATTTAAATATCTGCAACCAACTTTATGCCTTTATACTCCCTCTTATGAAACCTTTGTACTGACTTCATTTATTACTGAAATTACTTTAATTTAAACCCTCCCTCCTAGTAGCTACTGCTGCTGAAAGAGGGACTATTTCCCCTAGGAAAAGTTTCTTTTGCCCACAGGAACCAATCTGAATAAATGATTTTGTTTAATTCAGTTGTTTGTCAAAATTGAAGGAATTTTGCCTAGATCTAGTTGTGCTGATCTTAGCTCCTAAAAAAATTTTTTTCAAAGAGCTTATTAATCCAATATACTGAAATGATATTATGTAGAAAAGAGACAGAAACAGTAGGAAAAGGAAAACTAACAACAAAATTAAGAAACATGCAGTACATTTTGAAAGCAGAAGAGTTTAAGATTGAGAAATTAATAATGGTACGCAAAAAAAATAAACATTACAAATATTCCTTGAGAAACAAATACACAGTAACATACAGAGTTAAAGTGGAAGACACTTGCAACCTAGTGAAAATTTAGAAAAATAGATTTAAAAATAAGATTCATAGAAAAGCGTCTCTCTGTTAGAAACTGTTTAGAATAGGAAATTGAAAAGAAAATTCTTCTTCAGGTAGTTGAGGGGGATTTCAAATTATTTTCAAGCTTGACTTCACATATGTTGATAATTGTGTGGATTTGGAAAAGAAAGCAGAAGTCATGAAACAATTTTAAAATGGGACAATTAAACAGTTGGGGGTAATTATCACCTATGTAGCACAGTTGATCTAAGTTGTAGATAGTGTGATGAATCATAATGTTCTATCTTTCCAGCTATGAAGTAATTTGGAGGGGGGTGTCGGTGGCATTCCAGCATGTAATATCAAAATTGGGAGATAAAGACACGGAGTTTTTTACTCCATGGTAATAACTTGGAGATTTATCCAGCTAGACTAAGGTTATTAAATTGATGGCAATAAAGTCTGTTTTGGGTTTTATACATTAATTGTTTGTAAGATTGTTTAATGTTAATGCTATATATATGACTTGCAAGCACTCTAAGTAAAGAAAATATCATAAAGCTATACAGTAAATTCTTGGGAATGATATCTAGAGTATTCCATTAGACTTGAGGGTTCACAGAAAGAACAAACGCATCTTGATAGTTAATACACTAGCTTGAAGACATTTACCAGAAACATGTTCCTGGATTTTCAGCTTAAAAAAGATGGTGGTGTGGGGAGAGGGGGATGGGAGAATGTGAATTTTAAGCCTAAGTGTGAGCTGAAATCAGGAAAGAATGGACATTGGAGTTTCGCTAAACAGAGTAATTAGAGAATTGGGAATGAATTTGGAAAAATTCAAATTATGACAAAATGTCATATGTGTTTTATAAAATTTATACATCTAGGCACAAGATATTTCTACAATATCTGGATGTATCTGAGTCCTATTTCTCCCTTCCTAAACAGATGAGAAAATGGTGCTTCTACAAGCAATTTATTAAGGAGTTTGTTTAATACTGTAAGTAGGCAATGCTACTTTAGGAACACAAGAGCGCATTTCACAAGCGTAGGGAAATCCCTGCGTGAAAACATGATTCTATTAAAGTCAGCAAAATAATTAAGAATTAATTCTCAATTGATGCCCCTCTATCAACAGCAACTTCAGAGGCTACTTTATAGGATGAACTATAAAGGATATCTGTAAGATACAAGCCCAATTACATTTTCGCTGTTCCTATCACTCTGTCTTACAAAAATAGTAAAATGACAAATTAGAATAGAAACAAAATAGTCCAAATACCAATGTAAATGGCTTTACTTATGCTTTACTCATATCCCCATGCCCTGCCACAAGGTCCAGCACCAACAGGGAAACTCTCTGTGGAATAAAATTTTAATGGGCAGACAATTTTCTGACCTACCAGTGGTTGATGAATTAAGTGATTAATAAAGTATTAATGAAATATATGCAAGTAGGAGCTCCCTTGCTCGAAGAGTCAGAGGAACTCTGATATCCCATCTATCTTGGTGATTGGGTCCAGATGATTAAGAGGCCAATGAGATAGTTTAGGAAAGAGGTGAGGAGAGCCTGAGCTAAAGTGATGGCTTTGTGAATATTGAGAAGAGGATGGATATCAGACATACTATAGTGGTAGAAGAGGCAAGATCTGACAGTTGATTGGATGTAGGGGGTGAGAAAGAATGAGAACAAAATGATTATACTCTTAGTATAAGACTTTTGTAGAATCCTGTTCCATACCAGATTCTTCTTAATATCAACATTGTCATGAAGTAACAAGGTCTTCCTAGATGAGTATGAACAAACTTGTCCCCATTCCGAGGTACCACCAACTCTAACATCACTTCTAACTAAGTCTTTTGGAAACTTAAGTGCACAGCAACAAAGGACAAGTCCAGCAGTGGCAGAATGACCAGTGTGAAGAAAAACTGTCATCCAGAGGAAATGGGATTCATAAAGGCACCTCCAAGATACAAGTGAGCTTGGGGGACCTTGGAATGATAACACTTTTGTCTCCTACCAAATTATCCAAGACCTAACCCTGACCTATTTCTGTGAGCACAGGACCTTGCATAGGAGTTGGGAGTTGGGAGAGGAATACCAGTGCTACTCTATTCCATACCCCCTAAGAAACCTGAAGATTAGGCAGATTGTGTCCTAGTTATCAAGGGAAGTCTGTGCCATAATAGGACAAAATTATTGTACTCACATCCCTGACCCCCCTAACAGATTATTAGATATTAATTGTATATAAACATAGTTAGTAGGATGCTTAATGACCCAGAACAAGGAACTAAACTGTCCATCCTGATAGGTAGCTGAGTAGACCTTGGTAAATTGGGAGAGTGGGCGTTGGGAGATGTCCTATATATTCCCATATCATTATCTTAGTCCATCTTTAGCTTTGGTTGTTCCTTTCCTTCTACCCTCTAGCAAAAAACCATCTTGTTATTCCCTCCACATCAGTTGGAAGTCATTTTCATGTCCTTGATCACTGTAAGGATCACCCGTCCTCAGCTGAGGATGTCAGCTATCTTCGTTTCATAGATTCTGAAGAATGCCCTAATATCCAAGATGATTTCTTTTGTGCTCTAAAAGCACAAAAGTAGGGAATGTGAAAGCAAGACCTAGACCAGTCTAATTTGCTGTGATTCTTTTTAAAATTTATTTTATTTTTGATTTATGAAATAAAACAAGTATTTTATAACATAGTACAATAAAAAAGATGAGTGCATATGAAACTGCAAATCTACTATGCACAACTTGCTATTCCTTTAAAATATACAATAAAATTATCATGTAAATTTCTTTTTTTCTTTCCTACCCCCCAGAGATGGTTATCATTAAACACAACTAGGCATATATATATATATGTATGTATGTATGTATTTATGTATGTGTGTGTATATATGTACATGTGAATGTATATTATATATATGTGAACTGGTATGACTCATATGAGCCAGTTCTGTGATTTAGCTACAACAGAGTTCATCCAGAGGGTGAGCACAAAGGATTGTTGTTATGCCAAGCTCAGGGCACAGCTTGTTTGTGGGGCCTTAGCTCTGGAAAAAAAGTATCTCCTAATAGTAAAAAGAGAAGTATGAAAACAGAGGGGTGATCTTGGCATGAGGATCCTGACAATATCTAAAATTCAAGATATCCCTACATATAAATATATGTAAAATTATTCTATACATACTTCTGTTATCAGTTATGATATAATTAGTTATGATTCTATAGAGATTAGCTATAGATGGGCAGACAAGGTATTACTAATATGAAGAAACTATGGACAAATGCATTCCCATGGGAAAGAATTCTATCCTTAGCATCTGATTAACTTGTAATACTGATTCTGAGAAAGTTGGATCCCAGCTTGGTCACCATGTCTTATTAACCATACTCTTATCACTTTCCTAACTATGTTTGTCTCTCTCAATGTTGTAATGTCACC